TTTTTTCATTTTGGTTTTGGAGACAAATAATGAAGAAAATGTTTTTTTTTTTTTCATTTTCTTATTTTTGGTTTTATATTGAAAAACGAATGAACGAATGATACGTGGATTCCTTTGTATCGAGATATGTATCTTATCGTGGCCTATGTATTGTATCAGCAACGTCTTAATGATACCCAGCCCTATTTGTCAGACCAGAAAAACAACCAGAAAAGTTACAAAGTGCACCTGTAACTGTTTAATTCATTCACATATTTGTCTCCATCAAGACAGATAAGTTAAATGACAAGTTCCACAGCGCACTTTTAATGTTCAACAGTATTTCCGATATTTAATCTACATTTGTATTCACCTTGCAAGACATTTCATTTACAGATCAAGCTGGTGAGAAACGCATCGACGAATCCAGTGAATCTAGTTTGCATTTCTTCACTGCCTGATTTGTGGCATTGACTGGGTGTTTGAGTAACGCCCTGTCACTATTGGCGTGGAGAGCCTCTAGCGCGTGTAGCAGCTCCAGCTTCTGCCTCTCCGGATGTATGCGAACCGCTCAGCTCCGCCTGAACTGGCTGTGAGTCCGCCGCATGACTGATTAGCATTTATCGACGCGTAATTAGCGAGCTTTCTTTCTCTCGCTGAGAAATAGAGCACTGGGGCTAGGGATAGACTATGGTTTCAGCTTTAATTACAGCAAATCAATAGCATACTGCGCCGGAAGATCGAAGCAGGAAAAATACCGGGACAGCATCGCTTAATTCAAGGTTTGTTTACATACTTGCAGGTAGCTTATTGGTCAATTATGCTATTCTCTGCAGAAATATATTAGACAGTTCTTGTTTGTTTTGAGCCATAATGCCTCATCAAAAACCTATATCCATACCTACAGTTGTTTTTTATCATTCACATATGTTTCAGTGATTCTTTATTATTAGTCTGTCATCATCTCCAAAGCTCAGAATGCTGATGTCATGAAAACAAGCTCCTTCCACAAGACGAAACGTGAAGCAAAAACGAGTCTAAATCTGTGTTCCAGTGTTGGCACAAAGCAGGTCTACAGCATAGAGCAGATCTACAGAACAGACCTACTGCCACATTTGGCTGAAGTTTGTCTAACAAAAGTGCACAAATGCATCTGTGTTTGTCACGATGTGCGTTTGGTTTGGTAAATGTGCAGAGGCTGGTAAATATCACTGCAAAACCAGAAAAGAATGCAACTCCAGTTTGGAACTTTAAAAAACAGGTTTAAAAATCTTCCTTCACTTTTTTCACAGTTTTGTGTAAAGTGCCAGAGGAAGTTCTCTTAAAGAAGGGGTTCTCAAACTGTGGGTGAGGGTCCAAAAAAGGGGCACAGAGTGTTTCAGTGCAGTTTGCTTGGCTTTGTATTAGGTAGATCATTTATGACTTGGTCATTTTGTAAGTAGCTCACATGCTGAAAAAGTGTGAGCACCCCTGGCTTACATGTTTAAGGTTATTGAGGATGCTTTTGTGCCTGTCATCAAGCTGGTTGTTGCTGGGATTGAGGTCATGAAAAAATACATTTGTAAGATTTAGTTTATGCTCCACCTTATGATGACATCATAAGGTGGAGCATAAGGTTTTTTGTTTTCGAGAAGAACACAACCTAAATATGCAGGATTTGTGTGTTAAACATGTGATTGAAACAAATGAAACAGAAAACGCACACGAAGGATCTTGTAGAAATGCAAACGCAAGGAACAGTAAAATAAAAGTGAAAAAATAAAAAATAAGCACACTCAAATGGCCGATGTTCAAATGCTTTTTCAAGTTTTTATCATTTGTGGCTTTTATCTAAAGTTAAATCTTTTTTATCTCGTTATGCACGCTTTTATTTCATCACTCCTGGACTAATGTAATGCACTGTATTCTGGCATTTCACAAAATGCACTTTTCCGACTACAGTTAGTCCAAAACTCTGCAGCGTGACTTTTAACAGGACAAAAAGGAGAGAGCACATAACCCCAATCCTTGCATCTTTGCACTGGCTTTCTGTTAATTTTAGAATCGATTTTAAGATTTTATTGATTGTTTTTAAAGCTTTGAATGGACTGGCCTCACAGTACGTCTCAGACCTCATCCAAAGTTATACCCCCGCGCGTGCTCTGAGGTCCGAGGGCCAGCTCCAGCTCAGGGTGCCTAAGACGAGACTTAAAACCGGGGGGACAGGGCCTTTTCTGTGGTCGGCCCTAAACTCTGGAACGATCTGCCGCTTTCATGTTCGAGCAGCCCCCACAGTGGAGAGTTTTAAGTCTCGTCTTAAGACCCACTTTTATTCTCTGGCTTTTAACACCGCGTGAGTTGTGAGGTCCTCTGTGTTTTTTATTTATTTTTATATGTTTTTATTGGTTTTATTGATTACATTTATTTATTGTTTTTACTGGTTTTATTATTTTAAGACTAGTATTATTTTAGTAGTTTATTTTATCATCTTATTATTGTTGTTATTTTTATGTATTTGTGCAGCACTTTGGAAACTGTTTGTGAAATGTGCGACAGAAATAAAGTGGATTGGATTAGATAAATACTTACTCTGGTCAAAAGCAAGAAAAATGAACTGACGAAGGCTTTTTTGTCGAAACGTTATTTAAAAATAAAGAAACCTTTTGGACATCGGTCATCTGAGTGTGCTATGCATTTTATCACTTTTAAACATGTGATTGAAAACCACAACTCCAGGTATGTTTCTGATGAGGAAACAACATTATAACATAGAAAATAAATTCCAGTAAATTATAACGACAATTATTTTCTCTCATGACTCCCTTAGGACAAAGAAAACATTTCGCGCCTCTCCACTCTCCGCCGCGACTATAAATAGTATCATTTGTTTCACAAAGCTGGATGATTGTCGGCAATATTCGACACGTTTTCGCTGAACAAACTCAAGCGGCTTATCAGCGTGATTGGGGTGTAATGTCTTAATTTATTTGGCTTCATGCTGTCCGCTGCCAACATTTTTAGACACAGTAAACACAGCGGTCTTTCCTCGTTTCCCACCGTAGTCACAGTGAAACCGAGCGCTACATACATGTACGCGTCGTGGTATTTCCTTGTCTTAGCTTTCGTTAGTTTCATTATCTCCATCTTTTTACGCCTTTCTTTTCATCCCTGTCAAATATTTTTCCATGATGTCTCTTGAGGTTTTGTTCACTGCATTTCATATCTCCTGCTCTGTGCTGTGTGTGTGCTATGTGTGCGTACGCTTGGTGCAAAAAAAAAACAACAACACTATACTACTACTGTACTACAACTACTGCAGTGGATGTGCAGTTACACTTTATTCTAGTACGGCAAAAAAATCCATGTTCCCCAAGGTCACATGCATCCCCCCCGGCATCACACTGCACCCCATTATTATTTGAGAAGTGCTGATTTAAAGTAATAACATTCCCATTTAATTGTCACTTGCTGCTTGATTCCATGGAGGCTTGCCTGGAATTGTACATACTATGGCATTACACTTGTCTACATCCGTGGAGACAACGAGGCGTTCCCTCAAGGCTAAGTTAGATCAAGAAAACAAGATAGAAATTTCAATTCCATACTGTAGAACATTCCAGATGAAAGCAATAAGATACTCATGGTGTCAAGAAATGTCAGAACCCGCACCAAAAAAGTTGCATAAAGTACTTATAAGTTAATAAATAGATGCTATATGAGACTAATGAAAATGTACTTTCAATTTGACATATATTTGGCCAATGCAGCCATTAGATCAGTGTGTGGATGCAAAACAACTTTCTCCAGCTAAGCTCAGACAAGACAGAAGTCTTTGGCCCACAGAAACAAAGAGACAATGTCAGCAGTCACCTCCAGTTTGTCTCTCTAAAACCTTCAAATCAGGCAAGACATCTCAGGGTAATAATGGACTCAGACTTAAACTTTAACAGCCACGTCACATTTAGGTTTACTGCCTAAAACAGATTTGGAGAGACTTATCCATGCATTTGTCTCCACTAGGTTAGAGTACTATAATGTTCTGCTCACTGGCCTCTCCAAACGAGCTGTGAGCCCAGGTCCTGACTTGAACCAGGAAGTACGAGCACATGCCCCCTGTGGTTCAGAGACTTTAAAGTGTCTTTGTTTGTGCACAAGTCTCTCCATGGCCGATCACCAAAGTAGATTTCTGACATGTTAGTGCTAAATGAACCATCTCTGGCCTCCTGCTGGTCTCCAAAATCAGAATTAACCCTCTCCAGGCAGGCGTTGCAGATTTGCAACAGCTAAATACCAATTACCTACTTACTCCAAATCCATATTTTATGAGCCTTTTTTACTCAGGAGCCTTTTTTCACATCCATGCTGATAAACGTGGACGATGCAGACTGTGCAAGAAGGGCTACACACAAACAGCCTGCCAGAAGTGCTAAGTACTTTTGTTGTTTACAAAGGATAAAAATTGTTTCTTGGAGCACCACTGTTACACTGTGCTTTATGTTTTCATTGTTATGAAAAGTGGTATACAAAAAAAGTTATCGTTCATATCATTTTCAGTCTTCAGTGTTAATTTACCACACCGGGCCAATGCTGCAAATCTGCAACATCCCAGAACGCACAGGATGTGAAGGTCTCTCTCAAAAAAAAGTCAGGATTGTATATTACTACCCCATATGATCATTTTCCGCAAATATCAGATTTTTTCCTGTTACTAAATTTTAATTTGAGCCTGAGAGGGTTAAACACAGGGAGTCAGCATTTTAGATCCATGCAGCTAAAACCTAGAACAGTCTTCCTGAACATGTGAGACAGGACTCTACTTTGACTTTGTTTAAATCCAGGCTCAAAACGCTTCTTCTGAAACTCATCTCTCTCATTTAATGTCTCTTTCTCTTTTTTAATTTTATTTTTGATTTGTTTGTATTGTGATTTTATTGTATTTCTCATTCTGTAAACCACTTTGACTTACTTTGTGTACAAATTGTGCTATACAAATAAACTTGCCTTTCCTTGCCTAACCCATGTATAGTCTTGTGTGACATTACCTGCTGGATTGTGCGTATCCACCAGACAGGATGGACGCCGCTCCAAGGCCATGGGTGGAATGTTGAGGTTGAAGTTGAGGTTGCTAACGGCGACGCTCCCCCTCCTGGACTCCGCGAGCGCCCTGGCCTGCAACGTCGGGTAGTTCTTCGGCGCCGCGAATGGCACCGAATTCCTTTTGAGCGCGCCCGGCGTCAAGGAGAACGGATTCAACGACGGGGGCGAAAGCGTACAATCCGGCGGCATGGGCAAAACCGTTATATCTGTATCCGAAGTGGTGGCTACAATCGGCGCGGCTACCATCAAATGCCCGCTGGACGCTACAATAGATCCGCCGTTGTTGTTGTTCGAAGCTGACTCGACATCGCCAGCATCCGTCGCTCCTCCTCTACCCGCGCCCCTTACTACGCTGCCGTTCCCCAAGTGGTAATGCTGATGATGCTGGTGGTGCGTCATGTGGTGGACCAGCATAGATCCGTGGCGAGATTTTCTACGTCTCCTCTGGCTCTGGGTGCGTTGGGGTTCCTGGGCGGGGGGCGAGGCGGCGATGTTCAACCCAGCTCGGCGCGCCAGGAATCTGAAGACGTGGGCGACCTGCTTGGCCCCCTTGCGGATGATGTGGACCAGGTATTTCAGAAGCTCATCGTAGCAGGAACCGGGCTCGGAAAGGGAGGCCAAGGTGCTGGCGTTGGACATGAAGCGGACGCGTTGCTCCTTCATCAGTTGGCTCTCGCGCTGCTTGGTTTCGGAGAACTGCGTGGCGATGACGACCAGGCAGAGGTTGATCATGAAGAAGGAGCCGATCTGTGGAAGACAGAGCAGGAAAAGTGTAAATCTACAGAGAGAGTTAGAGGAGTTTTAAAGTTTCATTTCACAACTTTTCTGGTGGAAAGACTGTCACCTGCTTGTCTAAATGGAGATGTTATTGCTTTGTTCCATGGTATGACATTAAACACAGCATTTATTCATTTTGGGTGTTTCTATTGTTCTGAAAATACAATCTTTCTCTGTGAATATGGTCTGACCTGTAATGTAGCATATAGTTGTCTCCCTTGAGATAGATTTAATCTTTATCATCGAACATTCATGACAAAGCAATAATGTCTCCATGAAGACAAGCAGGTGCAGACCCTCCACTAGAAAAGTTATGGAGTGAACCTTGACCTTCCAGAAAGATGACTTAACTATGTCCTCAGATACGAGGATGACAAATCAAATATAACTTTTATTGATAACAATTGTGCTACAAAAACATTGGACATGATGGACAAGTTGTTGATGTTATAATTTGGGGTTTTGGTTCAAGAGGATTATCCAGTCAGAAAGCAGAATGAGCCTCACATGAGTTTCTAATTTGAGTTGCCAGTTTCATTACTGAGATCCAGTTGGTTTAAATCTCTCTCTGATTTAAATGGTCACTACTTAAATCCCAGCGCCTACACCAATCCTGAATCAGTGCTAGTGCAGCCTCTGCAACTCAGGGGGTGACGATGCGTTCAATTACCCATCTTGTCTCCCACTCGGGTCACGTCCACACTTCAAGCATTTTATTATGTTTTATTATGTTTAATTATGTTTTGCATGTCCAACTTGGAGAAAAATGTGGACACCAACCGGAAAGTCTTTGTTCAATATTGGCCTCACCACAACACCGACTACCACACCCAGAGGCAGTGATACGGACGCACTAAGGTATTGCTTCCATACGAATAACTGAAATTGTCATTTACACCACCAAAGCGTCCAAACACAATGAAAACAGTTCATATTTTGAAGTGACACTGAGCACAGCCATTTTGGATTCTGTCTGGGAATCCTTGCCGAGGAAAAGGGGAGCGTCAGTGCATGTCACTAGGTAAAGTTCTCGAACCTCTGAGTCGGATGGATAATTGGAACGCACCATGAATTCTGGAGGTTCTGAGCTTTCACATAAGGCTTAATCTGTTCATATACTGAGAATTAGAGATGTAATGATATCCAGATCTCTCAGTCCCATACTTTCTCAATGATACTGGACATTGCGATATTTTTCTTTCTTTATTTTTTGTGGAATCTAACAAAAATTTTGAGTTGTTGAATATACAACTTTTTCTTTTAAAAATGCCTGAATCCGTCATAATCCAAAGACCTAAAATTCATGTAGTCAACACTGAAACAGCGCAAAGGTCTATGTACTTCTATTTATTTACTTTTTTGATTTTATTTTTTTAGCTATTGCTGCACCATAACTATTAACTATTAATGTAAGCAAAGAAACCAGTAATTTTGATATATTGTGATGGTCCAAGATATTATTGTGAGACTTTTAGAGAAACAATATCACAATATTTCAGTTACTGTTACATCCCTGTTGAGAATGAGAAAAAATATCTTCTACTGTAATTGTGATTGCAGTATCTTTGCTAAAGTTATAGGATTGCAGACTACATACAGTTCTTTTAAAAGTTCACCCTATGTAACTTTTTGGTTAAAGGGAACCCATCTGCTTGTCATGAAGATGTTATTGCTTTGCACAAGACGACATTACATTTAATCATGTCCACTCACACAAAGAACTTTCAAGGTGTTTTTGGCTATAAACGTCCTGAACAATAAGCGCAAGACAGATTTGTGGATCTAATGCCACACTGTGAATCATTCCAGGCCAAGCAATAACATCTCCATGGACACAAAAGGAAAGAGAGCACATAACACTAAGGCTGCATTCACACTTGCTCACACACCACATAACAATTGGGACTAAATTAGGACTAAAAATAGAACCAAACCTCAACCAGACCATGACTAAACCAGGACTAGAACAGAATAGAATAAAAACAGTTGCATTATCATAAATATATTCTGACAATTATAATAAAAAGTCAACCCTACAGTTACCAAAATACATTTCAATCTGAGTCAAAGTCGAAGTGGAGCTCAGTGCCCATTACTGATCCAGACACAGGCCCATCCATCTGGTCCGTCAAGAGTCACTCTCATGTCATCAGTCCATGAAAGCTTTGAAGAATCTGTCTTCGGTCTTGACGTTTCAGCCTTGATATTTCAGATCATGTTTCTTGTTCAGTGATGGTCGGGTTTCAGGCTTCCTCACCTTGGCCCTGTCTCTGAGCACTGAACACCTTCTACTTCTTGGCTCTCTAGGTCGGTTGCAGTTCTGGAATATGACAGCGCTGGAGAGTAACGGGTTCCTGGTAGACTCATGTTTGATTCTTCTCAAATCTCTTGCAGTTAATTTGCGACGTGTTTCTTGTGACAGTGTTTACTATTTGTAACAAAACGTTTGATGGTCATTTAAATCTTTTTTTTTTTGCCCATTTTGCCTGAAGAAAAGCTGTCTAATAATTCTTCACACCTTGATATAGGGTGTTGATCTCCTTAGGTGACACTTTCCCTCCTTAGACAAATGCACATCACTGGATCTGCTTAAGTCCACTAAGTATTCAAGTTTATAGAGCTTGGAATTGGAGAATATGCACCAAAATCATGATATGGTCAAACTACCCACCTGCCTAATAATTGTGCGCACAGTGTAATCTGTCTACATCTCAAAAGCTCAAAATGCTCTTATCCACCTTGTGATGTCATGAAGTGGTAGTTTTGTTTAGTAGAAATGGAAATTCCTAGCCTGATTCATCAGCTGGTTTCACTTCGTGATTCGTTAGCTCAGCGATAGGCGGGTACTTTTTTATTTAACCGATCACTACTATTTGGTATTGACTTATGTAATGCGCCGTTAACAGGGCTAACTGGTATATTAAGCTTTTCTAAAATCATGTAGGAAGAAGGACAATAACGTCTTTCCCCCGATAAAATTCACCAAACATTCTCTTTGTTCTGACTTTAAATCCTCGATCTTGGGAATTGTTGCCAACACACAATGTATGGTTTCGTCTCTATCCATCTCAACCGCTTTGTTTACTGTTGTGCTGTACCACAAAACTGACCCAGTCATGGCTTCACAGCTCTTCACTGATTGGACGGTGCGCGGTCTACAACTTCCAGGGTTCTTGCAAACCGTCTAGTGTATTCCGATTCCTGACCTAGTCTCTGGAGAGAAATGGATTTGAGCGGAGGCACTAGGTGGCACCAGCCTGGTTAGGAAATTCCAGGGCTGAAATGAATGATTCTAGTGAAGATGCATTGAGTTTAAAAACACTGTGGAGAATTCCTCTGTTGCCACATGACATCACAAGGTGGAGTCTTTTCTGTTTAAAAGTAGAACGCAGCATGAATGAAACAAAACACAACTCTCTTTGATGAGAAAACAATATCATAACATAGATCAGATAATAGTCTAATATTGGCTCTTTAAGATCAAGAAGAGATGACTTACGATGATGAGCAGGATGAAGTAGATGAAGTTGTAGAAGGAGTGCGCATCCATCACGAAGTACATGATGTCCACCCAGCCCTCCAGCGTGATCACCTGTAGGACAGCAGAGCGCAAGAAGGTCAGAAGATCAATCCAACATGGAACAACGCATCAGCAGTACAATGGGTTAGACTCACATGACAGTCAAAAGTAAAAATAATAAAGTAGTAGTAGTAAAAAGTTACGTGAGAGTTGTGTCTCTTGAATAGAAAATGCAGTTTGAATGGACGCAATTAGCGAACCGTACAGGCTGCAGGCTTTACAAATACGCTCTGAAATGTGACTCTCATATTAGTTTGTCAGTTCATATTGCAGGCTTTTTGTCAACGCTTTCAAAACGGAACGCTTTTCAAATGTGAACTTTGGACAGAATCCTATTAATACAACAGAAATTGCAAATCTACTCGCGATCACAATGCTTGTCAGAAAAATTACACCACAGTTAGATATTTAACCCGGACCGTTCTGCCCAAGCTTAGACAATACGAGCTGTTCATGGAGCCTCCTGACTAGTTGCGGTTTTCCCAAAAGCTGCACAAAAATACACACTTCCTGCTCCGTTCATTGATAGCAGGTGAGAACAGCAGGTTACAGATGGATAATCCCTGACAGTGAGTTAAGATTTTTGCTATAATGTAAATACTTCACCGGAGCACTAGCTTCAAGACACAAAGACCTACTTTTCTAAACCCAGAAGCTTCTTCCGGTGAAGTAGTTACATCGTAGCAAAGGTCTTAACCTGATGTCCTCTGTCTAATATTTAACAATTGATTTATTTTTTATTTTTTGCATAATTCCCAGTAGGCTCTATTCACGCTTACGTCACAAATCACGAAGATGTTTGGGAACATACAATGACAACTTCCAGTGGTCTCTGTTCAGCTCCATGTCAGTGTAGAGTTCCGTCATGTTTGTTTACTGCTGATCACTTTTACTTCAGTGGGTTTAATCACAGTCAGTCGGCAAGCCCAGTGTTGGTAACTACACCGGAAATTGTCGTTGCATGTTTCCAAATGTCTCTGTGCTTTGTGACATAAACGTGGATAGAGACTATACACAATAAATGGAGCAGGAAGTTCCGATCCACAGTTTTTGAGAGAACTATAACTACCCAGGCGGCTCTGTGATTAGGGCCTATTGACATTAGACTAGATAAGACTTTTCTAAATGTCCACCATGTGTTCTCAGTGTGGTTTTTCGTGTTTTGCTCAAAAAGAACTGAGAAGAAGAAAAACATACCAACTAATTCATAAAAAAAAAAAAAAAAAAAGTTGAATTTTGGTTTTCCTAACCAAAGAAACCCTAACCCTAACCTTAACCCTAAGAAACAGCTACCTCAGACAGACAATTTTATCCAACTGGAGACTTTGTTGGCTGTGAACCTTGAGTAAAGGACTTCTACCTGATACCTGATAGTTGTTTCTCGGTCATGGTTTAATGTCTAAGAGACTAAGTGGCTGGAGCTACGAGTGGATTCTGACACAACATTCAAAATCAGAAGAAAATATGGCCTCTGCATTTGACTCATCAAGCTCTTGAGCCAGGCTTTTGGTCAGGACTTTTAGCTGGTTTTAACTGATGGAAAAACTAACAATTCTGCACACTTACACAAGAAGAACAAGCAAATTCAAGATTGAAAAGCCTTGCATAGGAACTGAAAAGTGAACCTGACTGAACAGAATTTAACCTTGTCTTAAAAACATAAAAAGAAACAGAAATAGTTCATTTGAAATGGTTTGCAGTGGTCCAAAGTTCTTCCTCACTTACCCTATGAATTCAGATCATCTTAATTATTCACCCTGATGTGCTTAAAAGCACTTTTTTTAACTTCAGGATTTGTTTGTAGCAATGTATGCAATCTATCTGTACTGGGGCAAGATAAATTTTGCTCAAGTACACAGGAAAACAATGCGTACATAGTCTTTAAAAACATTTTGAGTGCCATTATTACTTTTTGGTTGGGGTCTGTCACCTGCTTGTTCCTATGGACACATTTATTCAATTGCAGACAGTTTTATAGCTCAAAAATACAGGCCTCTCCACAGATCTGACCTGCAACTTAGTCTAGTCTGGTTTCCATATAGATAAAAGGTTTTAACGTCATACTGAAACTGAAACATTCTAGACAAGGCAATAACATCTCCACATAGAAAAGCATTTGATGGACCAGAAAAGTGACTCTGTTTGAATATTTATCACAGAAAAGCAACCTAGGATTCCTCTATTCGGACCACACAAAATCAAACTTGAGTGAGAATCTGGCTCGTGCGGTGCGGATTTAAACTCCACGCTCGGACAGTGATGAATGCAGCCTCATGGAGCAGAGCTTTACAGATGACGAGGAGATAGAGCACAAATGGAGCAGAAAAGTAAGGGCCCAGACCAGACAGGCTAATCCACTAATTCCCCCGAGGATGTTGGGCGATTAGTCTCTCTGTCTGTTATAGATCGGCGTTAAGGATTTAATAGTGTCCAAATCTTTTAATATGATAATGTCACGTTATATCAAATACTTACAAGATACAAGACTCAAGTCGTTTTCCTTTAAAAAACGCCTCTCAAAAGTTGGACACCCACCATCATAACTTGGATTTCCGAGTACCACCGGATCTAAACAAAGTTAAAAGGGCTGTGCAATGTCTAAAATAGCTCTACATACGTCTACTTGGACTAAACCATGACTTAAAATGATACAATAATTTCTTTGCATTAGCCATAAAATCACAATTATATAGCACTTTTCCACCTTCAAAGTACTTTACATCAAGGAACCAAGAAAAGTTAAGTGTCTTGCCCAAGCATGGATCTATTAAAATAATTGGATAGGGTGTTGCTGCTTGTAGCTGACTCCAGTTGACGTAGTGGCCACTCACTGGAACTTTAGCAGAAAAAATCCCGTGGGCCGAGAGAGAAATTTTCTCATAGAGCGCAACGTAATCACAAACTGCTCATGTTCAGCTGACAGGGACCCACAACTGTCAAAAATGTCAGATTTGTTGGTGATTTTTACCTAGTTTTAGATCATAAACTTTTTCTCAGCTCAAAACCCTTCAGTTGTCTTAAAAAATGTTTTTATAATTGTTTGTCCTCGCCTAGATTTTTTTCTTAATTTTGCTTTTAAAACTCCCCGTTTTACCCCCTAATGAAGTGTTATACATCTTCTTTTTTTTTTCATTACAACCTGCTTTTTCATAATCTGCTGCCGTAGTTGAATCATATGGCTGTAATAAAAGCTATAGGGTCAGAAATACTAATGTAAAGAAAAAAAAACATGTATAAACTACTTTTTGGAAATAATAAAAAAAAAAAAGTCTGTAACTAAACTAAACTAAAGCCACAACACTTCCTGCATTTCCATGGTGTTTATTGCATTTGTATTTGTACATTTGGACTGCAATCAATCTAAAAACAGCCAGAGATGTGCAATTTGCCATTTATTTGAGAAATAACTGCACTTAGAGCGGCTTTTTCAATTGTCGAACATCTTGACTCACTAAACTCTTTGGCAAAGTTTGGGCCAATCAAAATAGATGGAGCGCATGTGTTTGGCGGAAAACAAAGTTCCTATTGGACACTTGTTTTCCGGTATAAATATGCTCGGAAAACCGCAACTCTCAGTTTCTATCTTTTACGGTTGGAAAGTTATGCGCGGTTATATAAAACATGTTCCTAAGAATCATATACGATACCGTCGGTCTGTGGGTCACTGAATTTAACTGGTCTACCAAGTTTGTTTATGCCGAGAGCAGGATTTGAACCACTGACCTTTGGATCAGAGGTTGAGTGTTCTACAACCTAAGCTACTGTCCTCCCAATGGAGCAAAGAATAGGAATGTCCAAACTCTGGACTTGGGATGATTGATGAAATAAATCAAAATAACAGTAACATTGGCTGTGCATCTATCTATCAATCTAATTATTTATCCATCTGTCTATGTATTTATCTATCTATCATCCATCCATCCATCTAGCCCAACTCTGCTTAGCTTCCAAGTTTGTACAAGATCAGGCATTCTTAAGATCTAACCCACATGGAATATGGCTCTCCAGGCGTAGCAGATGTTGTCAAAGTTGATCTATCTATCTCTCTATCTATCTCTCTATCTCTCTATCTAAACCCTGCTCATCTTCCAAGTTCGGACAAGATCGGACATTCTCAAAGTACTGCAAAACACATTACATGGAATACAGCTATCCAGCTGTAGCAGATGTTGTCGAAGTTGATCTATCTCTCCATCCATCTATCTGTCCATCTATCCATCTAACCCAACCCAACCCTGCTCAACTTCCACATTTGTGATAGATCAGGGATTCTCAAGATATGACCTATTTGTCTGTCTGTCTGTCTGTCTGTCTATGTACCCAATAAGTGACTACTTGAATCGCACATGTGAGCACTAAAAGTTTATGTATTTATTTATTTTTTGTATGATCATGTGAATATATAACGTTGTATTTGAATGTTATTTGTATTTTTACAAATTGACTTTTACTAGAATTTATGAACTTTTATGGAGCCTATCTGGCAGGAGGATTGATGATGAAAACTAGCCTTTTGTCTAATTCGGGTACACTTGCATTATTCTAATGTTTATTAATCTATCTATCTATCTATCTATCTATCTATCTATCTATCTATCTATCTATATATCTATCTATTTATGTATTTAGCTATCTATCCATCCATCTATCCCAAGGGTGGGCAATTTTTTATTTTATTTTTTTATGGGGCCACATGAGAAACAAAAAAATATTGTGGAGGGCCCGGCCAAAATGCTTAACTCAATTCTGCATACCGTATTTTCCACAATATAGGGCGCACTTAAAAGCCTTTAATTTCATCCAAAAACGACTGCGCACCTTATAATCCAGAGCGCCTTATACATGAATTTATTCGGGTGCCTTAGTACGACTTTAGTAAACTACAAAGCCACACCACTTGCAGCATTATGGCTACGGCATCCAGGAGCATCAGGAGTAATACATACTGTGATTCTTTTTAATATCAAAATGCACCTGTCAAGAGACACACTTACAACACCGACTTTAAACTCAAGACTATTATAAAGTGAAAGTGCGAGCTGTGTGGGAGCAGTGGATGAGAGAAGGAGAACACACATTCACCAAGACAGAGAGACAGCGCAGAGCGACTTACGCCACGATCTGCCAATGGATCGTGGACGCCTGGGCTAAGGATCAGTATCAACTGTGGTCCGAACTTTCACCAAGACCAGAATCATCACTGAACTGCCAGGGAACAGTAACCACACTGACTCGGATAATGACGAGAGGGATGCAGGCATGCTGGGCGCCGTAATCACCCAACTGTTTGAACAATTCTGAGTTATTGTGAATACACTAACAGTTTAGCGTCTCAGACAGTATTTTCTTTACATTACAATTGAACAAAGTTGAGAGTTATTGCGAACGCGTTAAATAAACTTTGACTGGCTTATCTAACTGTAGTGTTTCGTTTAATGCGCCTTATAGTCCAGTGTGGTTTATATGTGAAAAAAATTTCAATGACAGTGCGCCTTATAATCCAGAGCACCTTATACTGTGGAAAATACTGTAATATTAATTGTATTTCTTTATAAAAAGCAGTAAATAGCATTGTATTGATGAGCTGCTCAGACTGGTAAGAGTTTATATTCTGACTAAGCAATGAAAAAGTGAGGTTGCCTTACAAAAAAATGTCATTTAAAAAAACGCCTCTAAAATAAAAGCAATGCAGCTTTAGTCGATGCATGAGGTAAAATTATAAAATATGTTTAATTTTGAAATTCCAAAGAGCTTAAACAGGCCAGTCAGAGTCAACCAAAGGGCCGTATGTGGTCTTAGAGCTGTACAGTGCCCAGGTCTGGTCTAACCCAACCCTACTTAGCTTCCACATTTGTACAAGATTAGGGATTCTCAAGATCTGACCTATTTATCTGTCTATCTGTCTATCTATCTATCCCAACTCTTCTTAGTTCCAGGCTCACACAAGCTCAAACATTCAAATATATTCAACATTTACCTGAAAGATGGCGATCCAGGCGTAGCAGATGTTGTCGAAGTTGATGGCGCCCTTAAACGGGTTGACGGGTCCGGCTGAACAGTTGGTGTAGTACTGGTTCCAGTTGACGCAGGTGGTGTTGTCCGTGCTGTTGTAAGAGTACATGTCCATGTTACACTGCACTCCGCCCTCCTCGTACAGCCTGGGCACCGTCTCACACCCCCTCATGCCGTTGTCCCTGGGCATGGTGCAGATGAACGGGTTCTCGTCATCGTTCTCCGTTTTGTAGTAGTTGGCCAGTCCGACAGAAAGAGGGCTGGAAGACATGGACAGAGATGAGTTAAATGTGCTGAACCTGGTTTAAAGGAAGAAAGAAAACACAACTCCAGGTGTATTTTTGAGGAGATAACAGCATTCTAACATGGCTCAACGCTCACAAGAGTCCATTTTGTTTAATAAAGGACCTGCAAAAATGTGAAAAACAGAACACCACTCCAAAAACTAAAATCCAGCCAAGTTAAGATGACTTGAATTAAGAAAGTTTAATCATGATTTGTGTAAATTTCACAAATAAGATCTTAGACTGATCCATCAGCAGGTTTCACTTTGTGGAAACTATCTGATCTCGCAGCATTAGAATTCATTCGCTCAACAGTAGACGGGTACTTTTTTATTTAACCAATCTCTGCTATTTGGTCGTGATGTATGTAATGCGTTGGAACGCTCAGTAGTGTCCATTTAATTGCCGGCACAACAGCAAACAAAGCAGAGAGTGAACATGTCTGTCAATGATCATTTCTGCGAGATGAACTTGAGAATTAAAGGTGTAATAAAAAATGCGATGTTTGTATCTTCTACATCCATCTCGACCTCTTTGTTTACTGTTGTGCTGTTCCACAAAAGGGACCCAGACAGGCGCTTGAGTTTGACATCATGGCTTCACAGCTCTTCGCTGATTGGTCGGTGCACAGTCTACAAATTCCAGTGTTCTTGCAAACATTTAGTGTATTTCAATTCTTGACTTAGTCACTGGAGAGAAATGAAATTGAGCAGAGGCACTAGGTGGCGCCAGCCTGGCTAAATTGATCTACCAACAGAACAAGACTTTTTGTACTTAAAATATGTAAATCTAGGACTGGGTATCACTAAGAAGTTGCCGATACGAAACAGTACATATCTTGATACACTGAGCTTTCAATTCGATATATTTCAAATCGATTCGATACAGTTCAATAAAGATAATGTCTAAATCATGGCTGTGATACTAAAAGTCTTTGTTAAACCCTTCTTGTGCAAAGTTCATAAGAAACACGCACATTTTAATCATCAAAACATTAAAAATGTCAATTGTGTTGCGTGTACCGCTAAAAATAAAATCTAGCCAAGTTAAGATCACTTGAATTAAGAAAGTTTTATATCATGATTTGAGTAAATTTCACTTGACAAGTAAAATGATCTATCAGAGGAATAAGACTTTTTGCAGTGTGCATGAGGCACACAAGTTAGCACGTACTCAGAGTTCAAGGCAAAAAGTTTTGGAACCACTACCCTACTGGTTTGTCTCCGTGGAGATGTTACTGCTTCGCCTGGAATGTCCCGCAGTACGGCATTCAACAACAAGCAAAGTACATCTGAAAATACATTTTAAAAATCCAATCCTCAAGCCAAATTACAGATCTGACCTGTAACTTGACCTTAATGTATCACGTACTTGTCTGCTTTTTCACAAGGCTAATTTAACAATATACCTAGATCAATAGAAAGTTTTATGTTCCAAAATACTACCCGGGTTTAAAGTACTTTTGTGTCATTTCTGTGCAGACTGTATTGTGTTAAACAGGGCTTAAATACACCATATGGCCCCATATCGCCACACTGCACCTGAATCTTGTACCGGAGCCAAATGTGGTTTCCAGGGAGACAGAGAGGTTAATAAGGACTAAAAAGGTAAAAAAAAGAAAAGAAAGAAAAAACTTGTATAGTAAAGTAGTCTTTTTGAGATGAATTGCTATTTTGTTTGTAATAGGGGTATTGTAATCTCAAAAAATAAAATAAAATAAATTAATAAATATAAAATAAAATACAAATAAATACAAATAATCCATAAATAAATAAAGAATATATTTTGTATTTTTTTGTATTATTCTTATTTTTTTTTTTCTCATTTATTGATTCACTCAGGATGCAAATGACCCACCTGTGAAACGTGTGTTGACATTTCTTATTTGCTGCAGTCACAGATATGGGCAAATCACTCTCTCTCAATCTTTCTCTCTCCATCTCTTTCTCAATCGTGTTTTTTCTCTCCCTTTTCTTCCCTACCCTCCTCTCTCTCCATCTCTCTCCTCTTTCTCTCTCCATCGTATTTTCACTCTCTTCTTCCCCACTCACTTTCTCTCTCTCCTCTGCCTCCCCTCTCTCTGTGTCTATATTCCTTTATCTCTTTGTCTATACCTTCACTCTCTCTCACTCTCTCTCTGTCTATATCTTCTCTCTCTCTTTCTCTCTCTCCATCTCTATGCCTATATCCTGATCTCTCTCTCCATTTCTGTCTATATCTTCTCTCTTTTTCTCCATCTCTGTCTATATTCTCTTCTCTCTCTCTCTTTCTCTCTCTCCAGCTTTGTGTCTATATCTTCCGCTCTCTCTTTCTCACTCCCTCTCTTTCTCCCCCATCTAGATATAGACAAAGAAATGGAGAGTCATTTCTTTGTCTATATCTTCTTCCCTCGCTCCATCTCTGTGTCTATATCTTCTCTCTCTCTCCATCACTGTGTCTATATCCTCTTCTCTCTCTCCATCTCTGTGTCTATATCCTCTTCTCTCTCTCCATCTCTGTGTCTATATCTTCTTCTCTCTCTCCATCTCTGTGTCTATATCTTCTCTCTCTCCATCTCTGTGTCTATATCTCTCTCTCTCTCCATCTCTGTCTATATCTCTCTTCCTCTCTGTGTCTCTATCTCTTCTCTCTCTCCATCTCTGTGTCTATATCATCTTCTCTCTCTACATCTCTGTGTCTATATCTTCTCTCTCTCCATCTCTGTGTCTATATCTTCTCTCTCTCTATCTCTGTCTATATCTTCTCTCTCTCCATCTCTGTGTCTATATCTTCTCTCTCTCCATCTCTGTCTATAGCTTCTTCCTCTCTCCATCTGTCTATCTTTTCTCTCTCTCCATCTCTGTGTCTATATCCTCTTCTCTCTCTCCATCTCTGTGTCTATATCCTCTTCTCTCTCTCCATCTCTGTGTCTATATCTTCTTCTCTTCTCCATCTCTTCTCTCTCTCTCTCTCTCTCTCTCTCTCTTTCTATCTCTTCTCTCTCTTCTCTCCATCTCTCTGTCTATATCTTCTTCTCTCTCTCCATCTCTGTGTCTATATCTTCTTCTCTCTCTCTTCTCTCTCTCTCTCTCCATCTCTGTGTCTATATTGACTCTCTCTCTCTCCCTCCCCATCTCTGTCTATATCTTCTTCTTCCCTCGCTCTATCTCTGTCTATATCTTCTTCTCTCTCTCCATCTCTGTGTCTATATCTTCTTCTTCTCTCTCTCTCTCTCTCTCTTCTTCCCCTCTCTCCCTTTTTTTTCTTTCGCTTTCTACCTCCTCTTTCTCTCTGTCTATATCGTCTTCCCTCGCTCCATCTCTCTGTCTATATCTTCTCTCTCTCCATCTCTGTGTCTATATCCTTCTTCTCTCTCTCCATCTCTGTGTCTATATCTTCTTCTTCCTCTCTCCTTCTCTCTGTCTTTATCTTTTCCCTCTCTCCATCTCTGTGTCTATATCTTCTTCTCTCTCTCTCTCCATCTCTGTCTATATTGACTCTCTATCTCTCCCTCCCCATCTCTGTCTATATCTTCTTCCCTCGTTCTATCTCTGTCTATATCTTCTCTCTCTCCATCTCTGTGTCTATATCTTCTTCTCTCGCTCTATCTCTATGTCTGTATCTTCTTCTCTCTCTCTCTCTCTCTCTCTCTCTCTCTCTGCTTCCCCTCTCTCCCTTTTTTTTCTTTCGCTTTCTACCTCCTCTTTCTCTCGGTCCCTCTCTGCCACCCCCCTCTCCATCTCTCTGTCTATATCTTCTTCTCTCTCTCCATCTCTGTGTCTATATCTTTCACTCTCTCTTTCTCGCTCCCTCTCTTTCTCCCCTATCGTTCTCTTTCTCTCGCTCTGTTCCTCTCTGCTCCTCCTCCTCCTCCCTCCCTCTTTCTCTCCTCCTCTCTCTCTCTCTCTCTGTCAGTGCAGGTCTCAGTGCAGACTGTTGTCCTGGTGGATGTAAACACAATTACAGCTGGCATCACTGATTAGCCTCCTGTCCGTCTCTCACTCTGCTAATCCACAGAGCACACTGCTGCCTCAAGTCCACTCCTGCCTCAAGTCCACCCCCGCCTACACTGCTCCCTACACTCTGCGCCACTGTTTGAGTGTACTGTATTTTCAAATATGAATGTACTTTTAGATATTAATAATAATGCATCAGTTTTCTATTGTGCCTTTCTGGACACTCAAAGACGCTTTACAGATCATTATTCATTCACTCCAGACTCGGTGGTAATAAACTATTATTGTAGCCACAGCTGCCCTGGGACAGACTGACAGAAGTGAGGCTGCCAATCTGCGCCATCTACCCCTCCAACACTCACACACACACCTCTTTCATACTAGGCAATGGAGGAGTGCCTTGCTTGAGGACACACCAACGTTTTTGCAACTGCTGCCCCCCTGTGGTACCTGATTTTCCCAGTACTAACCAGTCCAGGCCCGGTGTAGCTTCTGAGATCTGACGGGATCAGGCTTTGACAAACCGGTATGACCACGATACAAAGATACAAATATACAAATATCCGTCTTCTTTCCCGTGGTAATGGTCCAGGGTCGTCAAAAATCTATACCCTGTTACTAATTCATTCTAGATACATTTGAACAAATGTTTGAGACTAGAAAAAATATCACAGAAATAGGACTTTTCGATCTCAGAAGCCTGGGTAATACTTTAATAAGAGACTGTTGGGAATTCCGGGTGCCACAGTGGGGTGGCATTGGCAAAAACTGTTGTTGTGTCCTTAGGCAAGACACTTCACCCACATTGCCTGGTATGCGTGTGTGTTAGTGGTGGTTGGAGAGGATGATGATGCGGATTGGCAGCCGCGCTTCCGTCAGTGTCTACAATAGAGTGTGGAGTGAATGAATAATGATATGTAAAGTGTGTTGAGTGTCATGAAAAGCGCTGTATAGATCATTTCTTTGTTTTAAGGTGTGACCATTAATTTATTTATGTATTATTTTTAATTTTAGTGAAGGTATAATTTTACTTCCTGTTTGGACATGGCGTACATACAACCATAATGCAAACGAGGGCCAAACCTTGTCATTTATTGCAATTAGTCAAATCATAACTGTTGTGTAATTTAGACAACACCTTTTTTATTTTTTTTCAATTAACATCTGTTTGAAAAAATGTCTTCCTTGTGCTTAAATTGTTTCTGCATTTGGGATGAAATTCTCAGCATTAATGACATAGATAGAGGTTTCCCATTTTGGAACTCAGTGCTCAGCTACTTATATATTCTATGTACTTGTAGTTTTGTTTTGTTTTTTTCTCTCTTAGTCCTTTCCCACAAATTGCCACTTAACTGATGTAAAACTATGATAAATATTTATAACGATGCTCTGATCCAGTTATTTCTGTTCCAATGAGAATGTAGATTCTTTGGCTTTAAGGTGCATTGTGCAGCTTTTTCCACATGAACATGTTCTTGCTTGGTCTGAAATGTTTCACAGTATGGCATTAAACCTTTCTATCTTCACAGAGACCAAACCAGACCAAGTTACACATCAGATCTGCGGAGAGGCGACAATCAGAATGTTAATTCTAATTTTTCTAGGTATTTTTGAGCTATAAAACCACCTGTAATTTAATAAATGTAAGGTAGAGCTGTTTAATGTCACACTGTGGAACATTACAGGTAGAGCAATGACATCTCCATAGAAACAAGCAGGTGACGGACCCGGAACAAAAAAAGTTACATATTGTAGTGCACCTTGAAGTATCTGCTAATACCCAATGCTGGGGAGTAACAGATTACATGTACCGGAGTTACGTAATCAGAGTACAAATGATGAGTAACTGTATTCAGTTACAGTTACTGTTTCAGTGAGTGGTAATTGGATTACAGTTACTTTGTTAAAATAAATGGATTACAGGGTGGTATTTTTCTGTTTTCACATTTTGAGCTAAACCAGGACTAAAACCAGAACTAAACTAGAACTAAACCAGGACTAAAACCAGGACTAATACAGGTCTAAACAATATGACACTTCACACTTAAATGAACTTAACAGTAGGTGGACATAATTGAAGGCAGCAGTGATCTCATATAAAAATCATTTCTCTATCAATAATATTTTTTAATATGTTTAAGTAAAGTCTGGGCTTTTTATTTTCTTTTAGCAGACAAAACAACACATCTTATGTTAAGATCCTCGTCTTTGCTTCTCTACAGTAAAACAAAAGTCTGTTCATGGAGACTTGGGCTCAACAACCAGTTTGAAGAGAACAAACAAGAATTTGCAGGATGTGGTCGCTACATTCATGTAGTCAGATTCATATTACGTTACTCACTTTAAGTAATTTAATGGATTACGTTACAAACTACATTTTGGAGTATGTAATCTGTAATCTGTAGGGAAATACATTTTAACAGTAACCTTCTCAACACTGCCAATACCTGATATCAACCGATACTAGAGGAGAGATGACATACATTTAATTTCCTTTTGACACTGAGAGCATATGGTAAAAAATATATATATAAATATCAAAATGTGTACTGTATAACTGTTATAACAGCTGTGTAAAAAATGTGTTACACCAATTTATAGGATATTGGTTTAAACAATATTCAATCCACCAAATTCTTCAATATGCAACCGTAAATACTAACCACAGGTACTATCCCACCAAACAAAGTAAGACTTAGAAAAACATGAAAGCCTATCAAAAGCACTTTAAGACCCAGACATCTCAACCGCTTCTCCACATCCAGAAATAAGTCATAAAATTGATGACTATGATGAAAAAAATAAGCCTGCTCACTCTCTCTATTACGTATGAATTTCAATTACACCGGGCAGACCATAAATCCCATGGAGACTAATGGATCCACTGACACCTGGAACATGAATCCGTCATACCCACAGTGGACCACATGAGGGGGCCGTTCTCATTACCGGGCCCCATCCATCACCGGTCTCCATAACCACTGGGTCGGACTGGTTTTAGCGTGGCGGGCCCCGATTTAGTGCCTAGGTTCAAGGTTCCGATGCCGCGTCCTACCTTGACCTCCGGCGTAACCGCGGGGGCCTTCCGTATACATCTTGTTTATCTGAGCTGCATTAGGCCGAGTGATGAATGCGATGATTAGAGGGCTTGTCACCTTGTGTATGTCCCCCATAAAGCTGGCACGCGGACGTAAATACAAGTAGTAGATCAGAATAAAAATGATCATTCCAGAAGTCCCATATAGAACCAGACTATAGAAACTGTGCTCTGTTTCAGCTTTATTGTGTTTAATAATGATTTTATTGCTGTCTTGTAAAACATTCTTACTGTAACTACGCTCAACTCTCCACAGATCTGATCAGTTTATGGAGATAAATGTGTTTAAAAGGCCCATATTATGTTATAATGTTGTTTCCTCATCGCAAACAGACCTGAAGTTGTGTTTTGTTTCATTCACGCATGTTTAACACAAAAAGCCCATATTTAGGCTGAATTCAGTACTTCTTTCAAACTGTAAACACGCTATTCTACATTGTGATGTCATGTGGTAATACAGGAAGTGCTCCACTGTGTTTTTAAACTCCATACACCAGGGGACATCAAACTAAGGCACGCGAACCTACTCAAAAGTCAATCCTCAAACGTCGTCCTGGCCTATTTTTTTTTTATTACTTTTTGGCAAATAATACATGTATTTTGTTGTTAAAAATATATATATTTATATGAAGTATTCATATTGATACTTAAATAATTACATGACGTATTTACATTTGCACTCTATTCACGGTTATGTCACAAACCAAGAAGACGTTCGGAAACATGCGATGACAACTTCTGGTGTAGTTCCCAACACTGGGCTCACTGACTGGCTGTGATCAAACCCACTGAAGTAAACGTGATCAGCGCTTAAATGAAGACTGCATACGTACACTTTCAGTTACAAGTTTTGGAACACCACACTTTTTCCAGTTTTTTTTTTTTTTTTTTTTACTGTTTACTGTTGACCAGAAAGGTATATCTAAACTTTTGATTGATGAAAGTGTCCACCTTTGGCAGATATAACAGCTGAACACACTCGTGGCTCATTCTTTTTAGAATAGAAATCAAATATTCTTCAGAAACTTCTTCCCAAGTCTGTTGCAGAAGTTCCCATAAATGTGTGGCACTTGTAGGTTGCTTCACTCTTCTGTCCAGTTCGTTCCAAACCACCTCGATGGGGTTTAAATCTGGACACTGTGCTGGACACTCCATGTTTTCAAGCTTTACCATCTAACCTCTGGTTATTCTACACTTTCCTTTGTACCATTTCAAGCTCTTCATTGGACTTGCACGACTTGAATTGCAATAAATAACTATTTGAGTGTTCTAAAACTTTTGACCGGTAGTGTATGTACTGTTTGGAATCATCTTGAATTTGGTGCCTCATCTCTTCTAATTGCATGTACCCACTGCACTCGAAGTTGTGTGTTCGGGGGAAATGATGAGGTATGGGTGGAAATGTTGATTTGCTGAACATAACGGAGCACTACAATGACATGGAGATGAAGAAAACATTTTCTCATTTTTCCTAGATTTTGTTAGACTTACTACCATGAACAGAGCCCACCGGAAGTCATCATTGCATCTTTCCAAACGTCTTCCTGGTCTGGAAGTGTGAACAGAGCCTATACTGGGCATTTAAAGCTTGTGGAACTTTCTATGCAAAGCAAACGCATCTCTATGGAAACCTGTTGTATTTTCAGTGATATAAATACGAAAACGTTGGTGTTTCTTCAAAATTCTAACACTTGACACTGTAACCTCCCATACTCTCCAGATCCACCTAAACCCACGCAGGTAGAACATGAGACCGGTGCACTCACAAGGAGAGGTTGTCCTCCAGGAAGCAGCGGTTGCGCAGAAGCCCCGCCCACAGCTGCACGCCCACGATGCCGAAGATGAAGAAGACGAAGAAGCAGAGCAGCAGCACGTTCCCCAACATGGGCAGAGTGTCCAGCAGCAGAGTGACCAGGATACGCATACCTGCAAGAGACAAGACAACAGAGGACATGAGGAGGCGAGGAGGCAAAGACTAGGGTTGCCAGATTTGCAGAAAACAAACAGCAATCAAGCCTCTGAAAAAACCCAGCCTCACAAAAATACATTAAAAAAGTAACTAGTAAAAATATGCTTGTGTCTGCTGTATACTGTAGTTATAATCTATGATAGCCATGGGTCATTATCTTCTAATTTGGACATTATAAATCTCAATATTCATCCAAAACAATTTAATAAAAGAAACAATTCCACTGTATTCTGCTTTAGAAACCCACTGGGAGCTGATGTCACCGTAAACATCATCACAACAAAACCGCACCTCAAACAAGTCGAATTTGTTTAATAGATCTGATTTAAAGCAACACACAAAACACAAGGAACTTTCTGGAGGTGGCACCTGCACAATTCCATCAAAAGTCAAAACCATAAACATCACAAACAGACCTGAAGCTGTGTTTGGTTTCATTCATTTAACACACAAACCCTGCGCATTTAGGCTGAGTTTAGTACTTGTGATGTCATGTGGTAATACAGGAAGTGCTCCACAGTGTTTTTAAACTCCAGACACCTTTGCTAGAATCATTTAGATGATTTCAGATATGGATTATCCCAGTAAAAGCAGCTGTTAACTTGAAAACTACAGCTTCATGAAATCACAAGGTGCAGTTCCATGTAAAGTTAAAATCAAACTTTGGAACTTTCTTCAAAGAGTCAGATGAGTGGTTCCACAAACTTTGGTAGAGATACCCCTGGGCTACACAGAAGTGGTACATGATCAGAACTGAGGGTAAAAAATCTAATTGCTATCTAGTTTTGATTAAATAAAATAACATATATTTGGGGATCTCCCAGGCTAGACTTGACATGTAATGAATACAAACATTTGTGCTGTCAAGTGATTAAAAAAAATCAAGAGATTTAATTAATTATGACCTGTAATTCATTAATCTAATTCATCTCTTTTTTTAATCTCACCTAAAAATTGCTGAGAAAAGCTTCAACTTGAGGTATTTTCATTTGAATTCATTATGACATTATTTTCATACTGTCATTAACGTTTTTATATAAGTATCATTATTATTACTATTACTAATCTGCAGAAATAAACTCAACTTTACAACATATAAACATCACCACTTTAGAGCCACATCAGCCCGTTTGACATTATCATGTGTTTAATGCAGCTTTGTGCAAGTCTCACAGAAATGAAACTTAAAACTGCATGGCTCATTTGCATAAACTAAGTGGCGAAAAAATAAAAAAAATAAAAAAAAACGCTCTTGTGCACTGATGTGGTTCAGCTTCTGTCGGACTAAAGGACACGACTCAGTGGAATATAAGTGTTCTTTCTGTGACAGAGGGATGTTGATGCTGATGGTGAGTCTGTTCTGTGTCTGTGTCGCGATGTTTTCAGAGATCAGACGTGTGCAGGTTTATCGCAAATGCAGGTGAGAACGGGAATGAAAATTAGGCTACAATTCTGTGTCCTAAAAACACATAAAAACAGATTTTATAATAAGGCAACTCGCGAACAGAAACAGTAAAGTTAGAGATTAAAAATAAGATTAACGTGATAAAAAAACATAACACACTAAATATGACTGTAATTAATTAATCGCAATTAACGCAATAATTTGACACCCCTAATAAAAATGTTTCTAAAAAAAACTATTGTACAGGCTTCACAAACATTTTCATCAAGTGCGTCTGAGTAGGCCAAATAAGAGTCAGGTCTGTGGAGATGCAAGCCTGCTCAGTTAAATTTTTTTCTGTACAGTAAAAACAACAAAAAACAAAAATGGAAAAAGACAACAACATACTTTTATTTTAGTGTATTAGCCTTTATTGCAGTCATGAATAGGTCCATTATTTTACTTTTATGAAGAGAAAGTGGTACCAAAAGTCGCTCTAAAAAAGCAGACTTGGCAACTCCCGCAAGGACACTGGGACAGGAGGGTGGACAGGGCACCACATGTGCTGAGTCAGCCTGCATATACTAAAGCACACGTGAAAGTTCATTAACGTTATCAGTGTATTTTGAAAGTCTAATTACCAAAAGGTCGTTGGTTGGATCTCTGCATTTCCATAGCATTTTCTGAGGTAATATCCAATACAGAAGCTAATTAAAGGGTCACCTCTTTTCGTCCAATCGGATGCATCGTTACTAAGAATCATGGGAAACCAACCGCCTGACATTTGTTCTCTGTCACGGTGCAATATCGGAGATTGAAAGGTTGGCGGTTCCATATTTTATTTTTATGTCCTTGGGCAGACCATTTCTGTTATTTATTATGAACCGATCTGTCAATATTTTTACAGAGGTCAAAAGTGGGCGTGCACACTGGCTCAGGAACTAAAGGAAATATGATGAGGTTTTTATAATAATTCAATTCAATTCATCTTTATTCCAGACTCATAGTCAATTTTTAAAACAGACAAGGACAACATGGAAAACATACCTTGTACCAAAAGACAGGAGCGACTCTGGAGTAAGGCTCTATGTTAGGAAGAGTTTTTTTTTTTTTGACAGACAAAATTCAGGATCATGTGTCGCGGGTTAATGAGTATTTTAAGACCAAAATGACAAGGCTCACAGCAGCAGGTACAAAGAGAGGAGCCACAAGATCCCAGTGTAAGTCAGTTGGAGCCAGGGTCAGAAGGAGCCGGTAGAGCCTCCTGGCAAACTTTCTATTTAGCTCTATCCACTCATATATACGGTCTATGGTCTCCACATATTGGACTGATATCGTATATCGCACTAACTCTCAAATTTGTGAGTGACATTATTACCGTATTTTCCGCACACTGTCATTAAATGGTCTATTTTCGAACGTTTGTCACAAATAAACTGCACCGGACTTTAAACGAAACACAACAGTTGGATGGGTCAGTGGTTTGTTTGTTTGTGGCGTTCACGGTGACTCTGGGCTTTGTTCAGTTGTGGCGTGTAGGGAGGGTGCTGTCTGGGACCAACGGATTGTCGGCGTGTTCGCAGTGACTCAGTTGTTCAGTTGTGTCTAGAAGTGGCACATTGCACTCGCTTTTTCGGTTCGTTCCTCCGTTCCGTTCCTCGTCCGCGTGGAGTGATGAGTGTGGTTGCGGGTGTTTTTGGCTGCGCGGTCGCTGTCTGCTCCGTGTGTGTTTGTGTGTTCTGTGGGTGGGTGCGGCTTTGTAGTTTACTGAAGTCGTGCTGGGACACCCGAGTGGATTCGTGTATAGGGCGCTCTGGATTGTGGGGGGCGCAGTCGTTTTTTGATCAAGTTGGAGGCTTAAGAGCGCACCTAATAGCCCACAAAATATGTTATTTCATTGTCTGAAAGCTGTACATTAAAATTCTCAGTAGAGCCTGCAGAATGTTCACAAACATCTCCATCACACTTGTCCACAAAGCGCCCGCAAAACATCATTGTAGGCAGCTGCGGTCTTTGCAAACTGGCTTTTTTGTAATGAATCCAGAGGTGGGCTGTGTACAGTCATGTACAGTAAAATTTAAACAATAACAACTTTACATCATTCGTGCAAGAACCAAACTTGTGCATATGAGTATAGCTCATCCTACATTATCTAAACATGTCATCACCATCTTCCATGTCCACAGTGATAACAAGAATAATAATATTAAGAAGAATTAATACGAAGAATTGATTTATTTAACAGTTTATGATCATAATTACAATATTGAAGTTGATTTGCCTCCTTTGTTAACTATTATTGGAATTCAAGTATGGTCCAAATGAAATATGGATGTAGATGTATGGATATATGGAAAAAATTAAATGAAATAGTACACAAATTTGTATTTGAGACTGGTCCCTACACTGAAGAGCACCAAAAGAACAATTCTGCACAATTTTTTTACCGTATTTTCTGGGCTATAGGGTGCGCTCTTAAGCCTCCAACCCCATCAAAGACTGACTGTGCCCCCCACAATCCACAGCGCCCTATACACGAATCCACTTGGGTGTCCCAGCACGACTTCAGTACACTACAAAGCCGCACCACCCGCACAACATGCAAACACACATGGAGCAGGCAGTGAAAAACACCCACAGACACACTCATCACTCCACGCCAATGAGGAACGGAGGAACGAACCGAAAAAGCGAGTGCAATGTGCCACTTCTAGACACAACTGAACAACTGAGTCACTGCGAACACGCCGACAATCCAGCGGTCCCAGACAGCACCCTCCCTACACGCCACAACTGAACAAAGCCCAGAGTCACCGTGAACGCGCCAAAACAAAGTCCCACTGACCTGTTGTGTTTCGTTTAAAGTCCGGTGCGGTTTATTTGTGAAAAAAATTAGAAGATAGACCATTTAATGACAGTGCCTCTTATAATCCAGAGCGCCTAATAGCCCATAAAATACAGTATATCCAAGTTCCACTCCTGCCCCCAAAGTTTTGAACTGAAATAGAACTTTTTATTATCTGCTATTGAGGCATCTAAACCACAACACAAAGTGCATACTGCAGCTGCTCACTCACATAAACCACCAATATTATTTAATACTGATGGGGCAGGAAGCTTACAAGTCTAGTCTCTAATAGAAATGCTCAGTTTCCACATTTGTGAATTTACCTTTTGGATATTTCATGAGAAAGTAGAATGTAATCAATAGAAAATCTGGCTCTATCTATGTCTGGTCAGAGCGTATGACATCACCACTTTCTACAATCTGGAAACCGTCAAGAGAAACAATTATTTTCCTGGTTGCTATACCGACGTAAATCTTGAATAATATTTTTTCGAAAGCATATTTGCTCAGCTCATTCGGTGATTGGAAAGGCGGCGTCAGATGTAACATAAACAATAGGATCTAAAGTGAATGGTAGACTCTGAAGTGGTGCCAGTGTACTTTCAGCTAAATGAGCCACACAGAATCGCGGGGCTGTTTTAGCTTATTGCGCCGGGGCGAACACTGGACGCACCGGACTCAGGCCAGAGACACTGAGGGGGGGATGATGGATGGGTCTGAGATGG